GCATTCGCGCCAGAGGTGCCTGGACCCTGAAGGGTGAACGAAGAGGCCACAAAACCCCAGAATGCTGAAAACCGAGCCCCTGGACTAAATCCTAAATCCTAAACCCTAAACCCTAACTAAACCCTAAACCCTAAGCCCTCCCTAGACCCGAAACCCGAAACCCTGAAAAGCTTCGCTTGGAGCTAGCTTTGAACATGACCTGGTTTAGGGTTTAGGGTTTAGGGTTTAGGGTTTAGGGTTTAGGGAAACTCGTGGAAACCTTGGTAGTTAGTGCTCCTGCCTGATGTTTGGGTTTCAGGTACGGTTGTAATTAGGTTGTACAACCCCAAACCTCCAATTAAACCTCTAATACCAATTCCCCTGTAAGCCTATAAAGCCTAAACCCCAGACCTATAAACCCTAAACCCTAAACCCTAAACCCCTGCCTTGAACCACCAAGACCTACACACCAGCAGATAACGGTGCGCCAATGTAGGCTTAAATCCTAAACCGAAACCCGAAAACCCTAAACCCTACTTGGAGGCCCGGGGAACTTAGTAAGTAGGTTATAAGTAGAGTTATAAGTACCCTAAATGGAGTTACCCCAATTATAACCCTACTTATAACCTACTTACTAAGTTCCCCGGGCCTCCTAGTAAGCCCTAAAACCTAAACACGGAGGACCCTGCTCAACTCTAGTGCTGAGCCGAGGTGGCTCGCAAGAGACACGTCAAAGGGCATAAGGGTGCCAAGGTTTAGGGTTTAGGGTTTAGGGTTGAACATATATTATTAAATCATACTGAAGATCCCTGCATAAATTAATTCTTGTCTGGCGTTCGCGGTAAGTTAAGGTGTATTGCTGGCTTATGGGGTTTGGAGTCTCTGGGTGCAAATTCAATGTACCCGTTTCGGTGCTTTGGGGAGTGACGGCGGGTGCGCGTGGTTTGCGGGTCCGCTACAACCCTGAATCCCAGCACCGTAAACTACCTACTAAGCCGCCTGATCCTGACCCTAAACCCTAAACCCTGCATCCCAGATCGACCATGATGATTTTCCAGCTTGGCTTTGCGACTGTCCGGCCGGCAGGTGGGGCGGAAAAGTTGAGACCAAAAGCATGTTGCCAGTGCTAGGGTAGGGCTTTGGCGTTTGGAGTTTAGGGTTTAGGGTTTAGGGATAGGTTTGGAGTACGATGGTAAACGTCTTCAAGAGGGAACCACTTCACCAGAGACTTGGCGCCGCAGCGTTGCACACCATCCTCCTGTGGTCACTATGGTTGGCCTTATTCATGTATCTGGTGATGACGACGACGATGATGATGAACACCATCATTATGGGGAAAATAAGCATCATCTCATTCTTCACCATCGTCACCATCATCAGCATTATCGTCAACATCACCATCGTCATCATCATCTTCGTCATCATCCTCATCTTCGCCATCATCATTATCATCACCGTTGTCATCATTGTCATCATCATCATCATCACCATCATCATGCTACGATGCTATGCTTGCTATTCCTGGCGTCATGTTGCTGTCGTAGTTTTGCAGGAAAAGGATTGAAGAGCTATTTTCAGGTCCTCCTTCTTGTCATCAGTGCAGTCCCGGTTCAAGCGCATCGCGAGCACACCCCCCAGCACTTCAGACATCAAAGCTCATTTGCAAGATGGGTCACAAACCCCACCCTGAAATCACAAACTCTAATCCTAAACCCTAAGCCCTAAACCCGAAACCCCACAACCACAAACCCTAGATCCGTTACCACCAGGTACGGCCCGAACGGAACGGACTGCCAGCTTTGCAAGGAGCCCTGTCTTTGCCTGGAGCTTGTCGTTCGGTTTGGGGTTTAGGGGTTTAGGATTTGGCGTTCCTGCCACCATGCAATGGACCCGAACGCTGTCTATAGGGTTGTATTTTCGGTTTCTGGTTTACGGTTTGGAGTTTAGGGTATTTACAGGGTTGTATTAGGGCTTCTTCCGTTCTTAACATATGATTGCCCACATCATGAGCTTTCCGTGTTCTTCAGCCCTAAACCCTAAACCTTCCCTGCACCCTAAACCCTAAACCCTCAACTCCAAGCCGACTTTTTCCCAGAATCCGAAGCTGAATCGGCAGTTGCCAAGGATAACCATTACTGCCCTGCTGCTGGAGATGGGGACGTTGTGGGGCCCTGAGAAGCTACTAGGTTTAGGGCTTAGGATTTAGGTTTTAGGGTCTACGGTTTTGGGTTTGGGATTTTAGGTTTAGTGTTTAGGTTTTCGAGTTCAGGGTGCTCGAGGTTTGTGACTTGTGGTTTTGGGTTTAGGATTAGGTAGTAACGAATCCTTCAACAAAGCCAAACTCGTCACTTGCAATCAGCGGGGGGGTTCCCTGGTTTCCCTATTATAGTTAGAATATGATATACCCCAAAACCTTACTCTAGTTATCAAGGCCCCTACATCATTCTCCGTGTTGGTTCCCTGACTTGGGAGCCCCCCAGACCCTAAACCCTCAGAGAACCCCCCCATAGTAACCCTAAATGGACCCCGCCACCCAACAGAGGGGCCCTTCCTAAACAAACCCTAAACCCCGAAGTACTAGCACCCTACACACCTAACCCCTAAATCCCAAACCCTAAATCCTACCCTACTTTTGGGGGTTTAGGTAGGGTTACTCTACCTGAGCCTCCAAGTAAGTAAAATAATGGCCCGGCACCTAGAAGTATATTATTCCACATACTTTTGGGGTCCAGGTAGAGCCCTTGTAGACCCTTAAAATACCCTAGAACCCTTCTAGACCCCCTTTTAGAACAAAAGGAGGGGTCCTGCTCTTCCGAGGCCAAGAATGCGCAGGCAAAGCCTTGTCCCCCAGGTTCAGGCGCCGGAGGGTTTCTGGAACGGAACCCGGAACCCAAAACCCTAAACCCTAAGTTAGAATAGGGTTCGGGTCCTCGGTTTGGGCGAATTTCGTTGTTTTTGGCCTTCGGTGCATTCTACACTCTGCAAAAACACCTATTTGTTCATTTTGCACTTCAAATCCATACTTTACACTTCTAATCCACATTCCTGTGTGTTGGAAAAACTGTCTTGGCTAGTCGGTCGGAGAAAGCTGCGTGACGAGGCTCACCTTGTGACGAGGTGGCGCATATATTCTTCTATCTATCATTTGCGTGAGGGTTTAGGGTTTACGGGCTTCTATAAAGGTTCTTCAAGGGGACTCCACGGGGGGTTTCACGAAGGGTTTCTAGAAGAATTCTGTAAATTAAGCTCCCTTGTAGAGTAGGTAACCTTTAGCTATTTTCGGATTCCAGAGTGGAGTTTAGGGTCAAGGGTTTAGGTAACCTTTAACCGTTTTGGTGTATTAGAAGCCCATAACCCCCCAAGGTCAGCCTTAGTTCTCCTAGGATACTGGACATGTTGCTACGGGCTTTGGTGTCGCGAGGTTTAGGGCGTAGGGTTTAGGATTTAGGGCTTGTGGTTAGGGCGTAGGGTTTACGGTGTAGGGTTTAGGAGCTTAGGATTTAGGGCTTCGGGTCTAAGGTCTGCCTGGACTCCAACAGTATGTAGAACAGTAAAATAGGGTTTAGGGTTAAGGATTTAAGGTTTAGGGCTTATAGGGTTTAGGGTGTACACGTGTTGGGCCATGATTTTGCATACTTGCGGGGGTTCGGGTTGGGCGCAGTAGAAGCCTAATGAAGCCATCCAGCCCGAACCCCAAACGGCCCGACACACCTGTACCCTAAACCCTAAGCCCCTAAACCCTAAACCCCTAAGCCCCTAAACCCCTAAACCCCTAAACCCCTAAAGCCCTAAACCCCTAAACCCTGAACCCCTTAACCCTAAACCCCTAAACCACTAAACCCATAAGCCCGCGTTCCACAAAGAAACCTCAAAGCAGGATCTACCGCGACGGGCCTCGTGAATTTGTCGTCCTGTGCACTTCGTCCGCAATTTAGGGTTGAAGTCTAGTCTAGTCTAGTCTTTCGGGTTTCGAAACTCTAAACCCTAAATCCTACATAAACTAAACCCTAAACCCTAAACTGAACCCCGCACCTTACCCTAAACTGAACCCTAAGCCCTAAACCCCTAGCTGAAACCGTACAACCAAAACCGTAGTGTAATGTTGAGCAATAGGGTTTAGGGTCTGCTTCAGGGCTTTCAGGCTACGGGTTAGAGCATATCCCCCAATCCTCGATGACTACTGGGGCGGCCTTAATATGGTTAGTAATAAGGAACCCTAAGGACTGTGTGGGAAATTATTCGCGGTATATGTATATATATATATATA